ACAAAACTATTAAACCTATTTCATCACAATATTTTAGGTATAAATAAAGCAGAGCTAAGCGTATGATATCGTTAGTAGTGATACGAACACTTAACCATCAAGTTGTTATTCTATCTCTATACTTAAAATAATTTTTACAGTGTTTAAAAATTAAATTTACAAGTGTTTCTGAACATAGCTGGTTCAATCATAGATAATATGGTTATATACAAGAAAACCTTTACATATATTCCACCAACACCACCTTCAGAACTCATCGATTCTACTAATTATATGTTAAACTTCGTGAAACGTAAGTTTATACATATTGGGATTGATCCTAGTGATATGTTCAGAGTGGTAGTGCATATAATAACTCCATCACGTTATGTTCATATTTCAACCAAGTTTCTAAAGCAGATATTTTCACTGATGGGTAATATCCTATCATTTATTCTAGAGCAACCGGGGAAATATAAAAGAACTATATTTCTCGAGACAGAGAATTTCAAATTATCTAGTATGATGTATAGCGGTGAAAACAACTTAGTAATAGAGTCTAAGATACATGATGGATGTCGAATTCTTTTAAATCGTGCAGAACTCATAAGACTACAATATCTAGAATGGTGTATTTTTGAAACAGTTATACGAAAATCAGCTATTACGCGACCAATCGTCTTAAAACAATTTGAAATATTTACCGAGTATCTCGATAGAGAACTTAGCAAAATGGAATCGTCACCAAAAACGAGTGAAGAAATGATTATATTTATTAAAAATATACGTGACGAACATATTATCACAAACAGTCCTAAACATGAAGTTAATTTCATCACTCAACTCAAAATGTTTGCATGCACACAATTAGCAGAACATTCAATACAACGATGGAATAGGGAAATGTCACCAGAGGTATGTTAAAAATATATTTATACCTCTTATAAAAATAATAATAAATTAATTATTTTTAGCTATTTAATGGAAATACGACTTCACCAACCTCATCAACAAACATCGTGGTAGACAACACATCTGATACACAAAATGAGGAGGGGGTGTTTTCAAAGCAAAGGTAATTTATGAAATAATAATAAAATATACAATTGTTTTATATTTTATATACTTTTTCAGCCATACGATTCAATTCACAATCTACTTCAGTCATTCGATGTTAACGATGATCCTGATTTTTACAAMATGCAATATACACCTCCCCAACATCAATCAACATACGCTATATTCCCAAAACCATTAATTGGGATAAAAAGAGAAAACTCGTTTCAATAGTTGTAATGAATTAACAATTTATGTGAAATAAAAAGATATGATATATAATATTATACATGTTTTCATTTATTAAAATAATATTAAGTTTTACAATCGATATTTACAATGTTCTTACTTCAGATACGTGAAGTTGGCACTACAAAGTACTCAAAACTTTTCAAAAACATTC